CAGTAAGGTAAGTCTCATTAATTCATTGTTTGAGCATCGATATACATGTATATTATACACGGAACAGGATTAGAAACAAGGATCACGTGAGCGCATTATGCATTGAAACCAAATCCAAACTTGATTGGAATCAGCTAAAACTTGCTACACAAGATAAGAACATCAGAAAAAATTATAAAAATGCAGAATTCAACAATGGATAACCATTGTTGCACAACTTTTATTATCATCTATATACGTATATGTACATGTACATGCATGTATCTCAGTCCTCTCTCCTCAGGCTGTAGCTCATGTCACTGCCTGCATGGCAGTCTAAAACTGACTCTATTAATTGTTGGTCATTGCTGGCTCATATCTGGAGACAGGAGGAGATGGACATGGGTCTACCAAGAGAAGACAAAGGAACATTAGTTGGTAATACTGATTATACCTGTACAGTACATACACAAATACATGTACAATTGCACAGCAATAATTATAATAACATACATGTATAAACAACTAATTTTTAGCAACTATAGCTTCGTCATTCATTTTTTTTTTCACATGGATGCACTGTAATTGCTCCCTTTTCTCTGATGCAGGGACCACTCTTCCCCTAATGGGTGCTACACAGAATGCTCAAGGAATGCTTCCACTGCCCACCAGACACTACACTGCTGCTATTGAGGACGTGAGGGAGAATGTGAGAGCCAAAATATATGCCATGTGCACCAGAATAGGTACAGTATAATGAACTGTGCTCCATTGGGGGTTCCCTCATTTTTAAAGTTGCTCCAGAATCAGGCCAAAGTCCCTGTACTATAGTACAGGGTTATTGGCCAAATTTCGCCAAAAATGACTAGGAGAAAATTCTTCATTTTTATAATTTTTTCTGATGCATATACATGTTCTTATGTTGTGTAGAAAGTTTGAGTGGATTCCAATCAAAATTAGATTTTTAATGAATTTTTGAAGTCGCTCCAAAATCAGGCCAAAGTCCCTGTACTATAGTACAGGGTTATTGGCCAAATTTCGCCAAAAATGACTAGGAGAGAATTCTTCATTTTTATAATTTTTTTCTGATGCATATACATGTTCTTATGTTGTGTAGAAGGTTTAAGCCGATTTCAATCAAAATTGGATTTATAATGAATTTTTAAAGTCACTTCCAAAGCTGTATGTACTACATGTACATGTATTAGGCTTTCAGCTTGTATAAAGCATACTTTTTAGTTCACTTAAGCATGCTTTTTGAGAAACCCAGTGCTGCCACATGTACATATACATTTACATGTTGATCGCTATTTTAGGTTTTTCTCATCCATCTGATGGCATAAATACTGAAGATAAAATAACATTGTGTATTGTTGAGAATTATCTTGATTTCAAGGTAACACTTCAACTATGAATTACTATCTCTAATATGCCCTGTACAGACAGGTGAGGTTTGGTATGAAGTAGGCAGTGAATTGGCACAAGAGGGACTCCGCCCAACCTCACCCGATCAAGAGTGTCTCCAGGAAATCATTCATTGCTCAGAGGAGAGGGCAGAGGAGGTTACCAGGCAACAGCATGAGCTCATTGATGAGCAGCACAGACGAGACCTTGATGAAGAGTATCAGTTTTATGAGCAACTGAGGGACGCTCAGATATCAGGAGAAAGATTACAAGAGAAAGAAGAGAAACTAATATTGAGAACCACCAATTATAAGTGCCTACAAGTAAGTGTATTCATGTACATGTACATGTACTCTATCTCAAATTAATACATGTACATGTACATACATATACATCTTCTTTTCTTGATCTTAGGAAGCAAAGGAGAGACAAGTCACTGCTATTGATGCCTCTAGACCCAGTGCCATCTCATTAGGGTATGTTAATGATGTTATCTACTAATGTACTCTCTCCCTCTCTCTCTCTTTAGTGAAAGGTTTCATACTACTAATCAATCATCACTAAATGTTACAGTAAGTGACTACATTATAGTACATTATGTGAGCATTCTTTATTATGTTAATAATTTTCTGTTATAGACATTTTGCAGTCGTAACATCACAATAGCAACATCACCAATGAAAATATTGTCTGAAAACAAAATAGGAACTGCATCTCAAGTAGCACCAGTAAGGAAATCACCTTATTAATTGATTAATTAATAATAATTTTAATTTTATAATAGGCAACAACATCTTAATACAGATAAACTTTAATGAATTTTGTGTTAAATTAATAATTATAATTATTAGTTATTATAATAATTATCCACCGTGTAAAGTAGATATAAATAGAATGGTATCATCATTGTTGATTACATAATCCAGCCCCCCCACGAGGTCCCAGTCAATATTATTAATCATTACTAATATCCCCGGCCTCACACTCTCCCCTTGTACGAATAGTTCGGGTCTCTCGCATAATAAGTTTTCTTTTATCCAACCAATCAGATCTCTTATCGTCCAGGTGTTAGCTACGACCATTTTATCGGGAAGCTCAATCTTGTGTTTCTTTATCTTGTTAAAGAGAAGCTCAGCTCCTCCACTGAATTCTATTTCTAAACTGAGAGGCATAGCTAGAAAGTTAATAACCTTAACGAATAGTTAACTAACTAAAATTATTAACTAGCTGCTCACGTGACTTGGT